TAAGCCAAGACCAGAGAGTACTGAACAATGATGTGTTCAACGGGTTTCTCGTGTCTGCTCAAAATGAGACTCAGCGTGCTGGGGGTAGCCAGGATGAGGTGCTCATTGACATATATCTGATGAATGGCCAGAAGATTACACTCAGCGTTCCCGCCACCTTGCAAACAGATGACCTTTTGGAGGTATTTATTTATTTATTTTGGTGTCTGTGTTTGTGCCTGTGTCTGTGAGTATGTTTGCATGTGTGGGTGTTTGTGTAAGTGTGTTGTAGTTTTAGGTTTTCATTGAGTTTTTTTTTTTTTTTGTATGCCACTTAATTATACCAAAGACGTTACTTCTCAAATTTGTCTGAAGCAAATTTTGTTTATCAGATATGAGGGGGATGATGTAAGTGTGGATGAAGAAAATTTATCATACAGTATCAGATACATTAGGAGACATCTCATACATGTCATTTGTAGTGAAAAAGTTGTGAAAAGATTTTTTTATTGACAGACTTACCACAGTCATATTCTGTGATTAGAGCCCAGATCATGGCGAAGAGGACTTTAAGGGTTAAGATTTGATATTATTTAAATAAAATTAATTAATAGAAATGGAAACTTTGAAGTGTGTTTCATAAAGCTGTGATTTATGTATTTACAGAAAGTTTGCAGCCACATACATTTGCCAAATGAATTAGTCTACTATTTTGCACTTTTTCTGGTCAAGAAGGAAGAAAATGATCTGATTGGTAAGTAAAATTGGCTTCCAAGATTTTTCTATGAATTTCTTTGTTTGCACATTTAAAGTGGAAGAAATCATTGTGCTTTGCTGTAAACTAAAAGTTGAAATGTCCTTGTCTCTGTCAGCATTAAAATTTTACTTTTAATTACTCTCAGAATGTATTCAGGCTAAATTGTGCTTAAAATATTACACAGAATGGATGCCTTCTTTAAAACTTCTTACATTAAAGAAATATATAAACATTATAAGCCTGCATGCCTCTCCAGAAATTGTTTTGCTTTTCAGTCGTGAAACGGTTACAAGATTTTGAGAGCCCATACATCTCTCAAAGATGTGTGAAGGGGATGCACAGGATAGTACTCAGAAAAAAGTAGGTTGTACAGTGTATGGTGCTTCTGTTGGTTAATGGGATTAGTGTATCCTCTCACAATAAAGAATAATTCTTCAAATCTTTAATCTAATCCATTCCTTGTATCTCTTAAGTGACAGCTGGTGTAATATTACATTCTTACAGGGAAGTGTTAGTGACAATATTATGTGTAAGTCCTGTCCTGGGCAAGTCGAACTTTGTCTGCCTGAGGTGGTAGCCTTGCTACTCTTAGCCTGCTGTTTACAGTTAATCAGAACTTATGTACTGATATATAATTAGATAGAAATAGCAAATAGATACAGAATTTTCTTTTTTGCAGTTACTGGGACCCAAGCATAGACCTTGAGGTCATGAACAACTGTGTAGGGCTCAACCTACTGTATGCACAGACAGTACAGGATGTGGAGAGAGGGTGGGTCCTTACTAACCGAGAGATCCAGCGACAGTTGGCAGCCCTACAGGCTAAGGGAGCAAAGAAAGAAGTAAGATAAGGAAATTGTCTCATTATTCAGATTTTCTTCTCTCATTTTAATATTCAAGTTGTGATTTTATTTTATTTTTTTCCCCCTTATACAAAGTTTTATTATCATCATCACTATACTGATATCTTTACCCATCTGTTTCAGTACATGGAGTTGGCAAGAGCGCTGAAGTATTATGGTTATTTGCAATTTCAACAGTGTACATGCAACTTTCCTAAACCCAACACCCCTGTGCTCATCAGTGCTGGCAACCGAGAGCTGAACTTCAGGTTAGTGTTTCGCGCAATTTTGATAATCTTTCTTATTGTTTAATCAATAATATTGGTAAAGAATCAGTAGAAAGATGTACTGTATTCAGTTAAATAAAATGACACAGTGGCACATTAGATGCATCTGTAATACATGAAGTTGTATTAAACCCTACACTGACAGTACCAGAAGTTTCTAAGTTTCTGTGTCACAGATTCTGGTGACTTCTGCCAATCCTCTAGACTTTCTGCCAGGAGGGTTTGTTGTGTACAGTGGCTCTTCACTGTAGCCATACCCATCATGAGAAGTTGTTTTTTCATGACGGCTATAGGTGTGCCTGGCTGCAAGATCTGAAGAAAATGTAGAGGCCAAATTCAGTTAATTATTTCATTATGGATATTCTGCTTTAGTAGCTGTTATCCTTCTAGGAATTCTTTTAGATTGAAATAAATTTATCAGAAATTACATTTTACATTGTTTAACCCATTCGCCACATATGGCAAGAATAGATGCCATACCCACTTTGATACACGTTTATTTATTGTATTTACACATAGATGGCTCTACAAGTTTTTAATCACCAAATAGCCAGTTATCAGGAACTACCTATTTCACCTGTTTACCCTTTTCTTTCACTTTGGGAAAGAGTTTTTTGTATCATTTCATTGTCAAA